CTTACTTCATATTGACCAAAATCGGAAGTGGTCTCCTAGTTTTTACCCACTTCCTAATCCAGGGGTTGTTTCTTCTCATTGCCCCTTGGTTAGCTTTTCCTAATTGGTTGGCCTTAAATATTAGCATTACCTTAGGCTCATTTTAGGCAATTTTCTCACTCCACTTTCTCTCCCTAGTTAATGTTAACCATGTTCATTACTGAAATTATCATGTGCATGCAAAGTTTGTATCTCCAAACTGACCTTTCTCGTTAATTCCAGACTAGCATATCCAACTGACTACTTGATATCTCCATCATGTATCTCAAAATCATGGGAAAATTCAGCATGTTTAGAATACGAATCATGACCTACCTTTCTTTTTTTTATTTTATTGCATTTTAGGTTTTGGGGTACATGTGAAGAACATGCAAGATTGTTGCTTAGGTACACACGTGCCAGTGTGATTTGCTGCCTTCTTCCCCATCACCTGAATCTGCATTTCTCCCCATGCTCTCTCTCCCCAACTCCCCACCCCCCGCTGTCCCTCCCCTATTTCCCCCCAACAGACCCCAGTGTGTAGTGCTCCCCTCCCTGTGTCCATGTGTTCTCACTGTTCAACACCCGCCTATGAGTGAGAACATGTGGTGTTTGATTTTCTGCTCTTGTGTCAGTTTGCTGAGAATGATGGTTTCCAGGTTCATCCATGTCCCTATAAAGGACATGAACTCATCGTTTTTTATGGCTGCATAGTATTCCATGGAATAGAAATATGACCTACCTTTCAACCGCAAACTTGATCCTCCTTCAGGATTCCCTGTGTCAGTTAATGATACCATCAGTCTTCTGTTCTACAAACAAGAAACCTAGGAGTCATCTTTGATGCTTTTGCCTCTCTCTCTGCCTATGCCTAATCTTGTTGATGTTACCTCTCAAATTGTTGAGAGGTTACTTTTTAAATAGCTCTCAAATCTGCCTACTTTCTCCGCTGCTCCCATGCTAGTCTAAGTTTCCAGAAACATTCACCTGAACCACTACAATTTTCTCCAACTTGATCTCCCTGTGTTCACTTCTATTCTCTATCATCGATTCCCCTTATGGCAGCCAGAATGACTTTTCTATGAAAATACTTGCTAAACCCCCACTCAAGCCATTTCAATGGCTGTTCAATGTGCCATTGAAGATGGAGATGGAGTCTTCTCTGTTGCCCAGACTGGAGTGTAGTAGCATGATCTTGGTTCACTACAACATCCACCTCCTGGGTTCCAGTGATTCTCCTGCATCAGCCTCCAGAGTAGCTGGGATTACAGGCATGCGCCACAACACCCAGCTAATTTTTGTATTTTTAGTAGAGATGGGGTTTCACCATGTTGGCCAGGCTGGTCTTGAACTCCTGGCCTCAAGTGATCCACCCACCTTGGCTCCCAAAGTGCTGGGATTACAGGCGTGAGCCACCGCACCCAGTCCTACTCCTCCCTTTTCTTTCCATACCTCTACATATTTATCTTCTTTTGGTTCTTCATGTTTTCTTTTGCTCTCTTGCCAGAGATACTCTCTACCCCCTTCACATTATCTAACTTTTTCTTCACACATCAGCCCAATATTTATTTCCTATTTCTGTGTTCCTTATCTAAAAAGAGAGAGTAAAACCTGTATAACCCAAGTCAGTCCAAGAGCTTCTGTTCACGTCCAGGTCACTTATCCATAAATGAGACTTATCTTCTTTTCTTCTATCCATTGAGACAAGTTCTAAAGTTAGATAGTTTGGATAGGTCTAAAAATTACAGCTATTTATATTGCTGAGAATGAAGGAATGCTAAAAGCCTATTATGTTATCATTATTATTTTGCAAATGAGGAATCAAGGCTGTACGGGACATATGGCCCAATCATTCATGTGATACTTGAATCCCTTCTATGAACAGACCACGTACTCATTCTATTCTGAGCACTCTTCCAATATTCATCAGATCCAACACTCTTCCATGTTCATCTTATTTCTCATAAAGAAAGAAAGAAGAACTAATCCTACTTTTCTGTTGGAATGATGGATTTTTTTCTGGAAATAATGTCTCCTAATGTATGGTCATCTCACAATCTATATCAGAATTTCATGGTGCTCCACCTATAACTACAGATTATTGAGTACCCACCCCGGAGTCACTCAAATTATGAGTTACTCATAAATGTACATAAAATGCTCCATCGTGATCATTAGAATTTGCATCAAATACAGTACCAGAGGCCAAAGGCCTGAAACAATAATTTCTAGCATATTTCCCTTATTTAACACTGTGCCATTTCTATTGGAAAAGCAAAGGTGGTTAATCTAATGCTTTAGTCTTAAAGATTCCATGCCAAGAACTAATAATGACATTTTTGCCACCACCACCACCACCACAACCACCCAACCACAGCTAGCAATCAAAGAGAGGCATTCATCACAGAAATGGTTAAGTACCTAACTGAATAGTCATTAAAAGCTTATTACATGTATATTTTTATTCAAACAATGTTCAGTAAACACTTAATTTTTTTATAAAATGTATGCACTGAATGTCTGTCTTCTCTATGCCAGGCTTGTGCTAGGTCCTGGGTATACAGTTGTAGGTGAAATTGATATGGTCATTGCCTCAGTGAACCTACAGACCAGTAAGGGACATAACCATCAAACAAGGAAATCCACAAATTATTATTGAATTACAAATTATGATAAATGCTATTCATTAAAAAAAGAAACAAGAGGCTGGTGCAGCGGCTCATTCCTATAATCCCAGCACTTTGGGAGGCTAAGGTGGGTGAATCACCTGAGGCCAGGAATTCAACACCAGCCTGACCCATATAGTGAAACCCCGTCTCTACTAAAAATACAAAAATTAGTGGGGCACGGTGAGCCTGTAGTCCTAGCTACTTGGGAGGCTGAGACAGGAGAATCACTTGAACTCAGGAGGTGGAGGTTGCAGTGAGCTGAGATTGTGACACTGTACTCCAGTCTGGGTGACAGAGTGATACACCATCTCAAAAAAAAAAAAAAAAGAAACAAACAAACAAACAAACAAACAAGAGAAAGCATAACATATTCATGATGAAACAAGAGAATTCTGGTGTGCTTAAAGCAAAAGATATGAATGGTGAGTAATCAGATTATGAAAGTTTTTGCATGTCATCTTAAGGACTTAAAATGTTAGGGCAGTGAAACAGTGGTAAGAGATTTAAGCAGAGAAGTGGCATAATCAGATTTTTCTAAAGCATAAATCTAGTCACATAATCCTCTATGCAGGAATTGGTTCTCCATCAGAGGTAGTTCTACCTTCTTTGTCAAATATATTCCTCTCTTAAACAGTACCTCAAAAGGATACCTTATCTGAGGCTCTATAAAAGTAACAATTGAAATTAGTGTTGATTGAGATAGAATCTAATCCAAAGAAAGGAATGCACCATTTTACCAATAATTGACTTTACTATTGCATATTATATAAAGTACATATATATATATATATTTGTTGTACACAGCAATGTTATGGAACATATAGCTTAACTACTAATGTCTTAGCCAAGACCTGCAAGGAGATTCTCACGCAGGTTCTCTGGGTCCTCTTCTGACATCTGGGTTCTCATCTGTTTTGCTGTTCCATTCTGGTCCATATCCCATTCTAAAACATTTGGTTCTGTGCCAATATGCTCAGTTTCTTGTGTCAAAGCTGACAGACTAACTACAGAGGGTGTTTGTTCTGTGTCTCCAAGGTCTCCTAGTTCCCTCTTTGAAGTAAAGCTTTTAGCTATTTCTATAGCTCTAGTTATTCCTGTTTATGTTTGGAACCACACATAACAAATCCCAGAAAGCAGACAATTCAGTTCTATTATAACATAAAATTTAGCTCTACCCGAATAAAAGCCTACTATACAATTACACTACAACATAACACTGAAATTGCCAGGCAATGATTGTGGCAGTTGCATTGGGAAGATTGAGGTATCTAGGAATAAAGATAGTTACTTCTAGGATAAATGCTTCCCAGTCAGCTTTCCCATACTATTCCCAAACCATTACTGGGAGCTTAATTCCATTCTCTACTATCAAACATCTCTTGGCAGCAATATCTGGCATCAAATTTGTCCCATTGCTGGCCGGGCACGTTGGCTCATGCCTGTAATCCCAGCATTTTGGGAGGCCAAGGCAGGCAGATCACTTGAGGTCAGGAATTCAAGGCCAGCCTGGCCAGCATGGTAAAACCCCACCTCTACTAAAAGTATTTTAAAAATCAGCCAGGCATGGTAGCACACATCCGTAATCCCAGCTACCCAGGAGACTGAGGCAGTAGACTCACTTGAGCCTAGGAGGTGGAAGTTGCAGTGAACTGAGATCATGCCACTGTACTCCAGCCTGGGTGACAGAGTGAGACCCTGTCTCAAAAAAAAAAAAAAAAATTGTTGCTTCATCTCCCAAATTTTGCTATATGGTTTCGTGTTTTTTTATAAGTGGGTTCAAGTTTCTTTAAATGTAGGTTACACATCTAGGAACATGTAACAGAAGTCCTAGATCTAAAGGAAGTTCTAAGAGTTAAGTAATCCAAAACTTAACCTCTAATACTAAACATTTTAAATTATTTTATATTTTAATTTGTCCCAGAAGTTTACATTCCTCCAGTCAAAACCCTCTTCCCTTCCTTACTTTAGAAGTAGAGATAGACAAGAAGGTACACCTGGAGGCAGAAAGAATTAAGGGAAAAAATAAAAATAAAATAAAAAGAAAAAAAAAACTAATTTTATTTTCCTTTTTTTTTTTTTTTTTTTTGAGATGGAGTCTTGCTCTGTCGCTAGGCTGGAGTGCAGTGGTGCAATCTCAGCTCACTGCAACCTCCACCTCCCGGGTTCAAGCCATTTTCCTGCTTCAGCCTCCCGAGTAGCTAGGATTACAGGCATGCACCACCATGCGCAGCTAATTGTTGTATTTTTAGTAGAGATGGGGTTTCACCATGTTGGCCAGGATAATCTCAATCTCTTGACCTCATGATCCACCCGCCTCAGCCTCTCAAAGTGCTGGGATTATGGGCGTGAGCCACCACGCCTGGCCTCTTTTTGAAAGATAAATTTTTGCTGGAAATAATGTCTCCCAATATCTGGTCACCGCCCAATCTATATCAGAATTTCTTGAGGCTCCACCTATAACTACAGATTATTGAGGAGCCACCGTAGAGTCACTGAATCAGAATAGCTGGGAGTGAAGGCATTTTTAACAAGCAATGTTTGTATGCGAATAAAAGATTTAAAACAACTAATATAAACACTGTCTCTATAATGTTTAAATATTTATAAATACACCTTACTGCCCTTGCTTCGTCTTTATAATTTTCACAAGTGGTACTTTCTTCTCAAATAAAGTGCCTGGTGTAAAGCTGACAAATGTATTAATTTACTGAATGACTACTGTAAACAGAAAAGGTACAAAATAACAGGAACACTTGTCCCTGTGAAGTCAATCATCCAATGAAGAAAAAAGACAAACATAAATGAAAAAGACTTAGCTAGTGTATGGGTAGTATACTGGCATAAAAGCAGATATAGTTTGCACAAGTATTTATGAGCTTAGAAAAGCAAGGCTGGAAGTGGAAAAATCAAGTAGGCATCACTGAATGCTTTACTCAGGGAGATAAGGAATTTTAATCAGGAGTTTTGAATAATGAAGGGTAATTTGAAAGCCACTACAATGTGGTAGAACAACCTCTGGCCAAGAAATTGGAAGGATGTCATAGTCCCAGTTCTACAACTGTGTGATGTTGAGCTAGTCTTTCACATTTTTAAATTCTGTTTTCTCAGTTGCATAATCAAGGCCAGTCTTTGTTTCTTTATGCTCCCACCTCATTTGAGAAAAGACTAAAGCACGGAAGATATACAAGATTTCTTCAGGAGCACATATTTGATGACTTTACAACTCAAAACCTCACAACCACAAAACACAAAAAGGAAATATTAACAAATGCAAATTGAAACCTACTACTGTTAAAAGGCAATCATTCTGTGTACACATCTCATAACTGTGAGATTATATAGAGATAAGATCCAGTCAGAATTCTTAGAGGTTGTATGTGGTCTAGAATGTCTCTGGTGAGCTCTGCCAGGGGTACAGTTCTGGTAAAACCATAGAGACCCAGTCAGAGACATCCATGTGTTTGATGCAATGGTATTTTGCCCAGCAGTTTCTTCATAGCATCTTTGACTTCCTTGTTTCTTAAACTGTAAATTATGGGGTTCAACATAGGGGTAAGCACTCCATAAAGCAACGAGATGATTTTGTCTATTTTTTGTGAGTTTGATGAAGACGGCTTTAGGTACATAGAGAGGGCAGCCCCGTAATACAAGATCACCACAGTCAAATGGGCACCACAGGTAGAAAAAGCTTTGTTTCTTCCCTCTGCTGAGCTGATTCTCAGAATAGTGGAAAGGATGAAGATGTAAGAGATACAAATTAAGAGCATTGGAATTGGCAACAAGAGAATGCTGACCACCAGCATGATCATGTCCATGAGCAGTGAACTTGCGCAAGCTAACTTTAGCACTGCCAGAATTTCACAGGTGAAGTGATCAATGAGATTCCCACAGAGGGGTATCTGCAGGGCGAAACTGGTTTCCAGCAGGGCAGTCAGGCAACCCATCATCCAGGAGACCGTGGCCATCTGCGCACAGACCCGCCTGTTCATGATGATGAAGTATCTCAGCGGGTTGCAAATGGCCACATAACGGTCATATGCCATCACGGCCAGGAGCACACACTCCGTGGAGCCCATGGCAAGGGACAGATACATCTGTACAGCACAGCCAGAAAAGATAATGGTTTTCTGGTATGACAGCAAACTTACCAGCAAAGTAGGAATTGAGGCAGATGTGTAACAAATATCCATGAAAGAGAGATTTCCAAGGAATAAGTACATGGGGGTTTTAAGGCGTGAATCTAGGATAGTGATTAAAATAAGAGTGCTGTTGCCCAAGAGCGTTGTCAGATACATTACAAGGCTGAAGATGAAGAGAACCACCTCTAACCTTGGGTACTGGGAAAATCCTGCCAAGAAAAAAATGCTCCAAATGGTGAAATTTTCTCCTTGCATTTTCTTTCTTTCATCTGTATTTATTCCAGTACTATTTCCTTCATTTAATCTGAGGACATAAAAAAATGAATAAAGTGTGATATTCATTTGAAAAATACTTTCAAATTTATTTTTACTATTATAAATGCAATTTTACTATAAGAAATCACAGGATAGTGTATTTATTGATGTAAGGGGGAAAAGCAGGTTTGATCTATATAAGTTGATTCTTCCACAACAAAATTTAGATAACAGTGAATTTTTAAAAAGAATATATATATTTAATACTTGAATCTGAGCTCCTAAACCTATCCTTGGCACACAGTAGGACTTTAATAAATATTTGAAAGTGACTGAATGAGGAAAAATATAAATGTATACTGAATAAGTTACTGAGTTCAAATCAGAAAAGTAATCCAGATAAGTGAAAAAAAAAATCTCAAATATACAATAAAAAGCAATATTGATCTTCACCAAAACAAGAGGAGGAACCTTGAAAGATGCAAATAAAATAAATTTTAGGCCAGGTACAGTGGCTCATGCCTGCAATCCCAGCACTTTGGGAAGTCAAAGGGGATGGATTGCTTGAGCTCAGGAGTTAGACCAGCCTGGGCAACATGATGGTTAAATCCTTCCCGTCTCTAGGAAAAATACGAAAAGTAGCCAGATGTGGTGGTGCATGTCTGTGGTCCTAGCTATTCAGGAGGCTGAGGCTGAGACTGGGAGGCAGAGGCTGCAGTAAGCCAAGATTGCGCCACTGTACTCTAGCCTGGGTGACAGTGAGACTCTATCTCAAGTAAGTAAGTAAGCAAGTAAGTAAGTAAGTAAGTAAGTAAGTAAATAAATAAATAAATAAACAAACCAGCTTCATAGTTGGAGGCTCTGGGTCTAAATAAGCTCTGTCCTTTCCCTCTAACAGTTTGGGGGGCTGTCTACTGGTTTCAAAAAGGACAACAATGCTCAAAGCATTGTAGATACTAATTTGTAGTTATATTTAAGAGCTAGTTTATGCCACACAAAATAACCCACCCTCATTTAAATATGAATACATCCACTGTACAGTTTCATTCATTGTTGAGTCCCATATTATTGTGAGTGTGTAAAGAGTTCTAATAATTATAGCCAGGCAATACTTTAAAACCCATATACCTGGAAATGCAGAAACTAAACTCCCTTGGAAGATTATCATAAGATCTTTTTGAAAATAGATTACAGAGCATATAGTTATAAATAAGAACATTGGAATTGGCAAAAGAAGAATGTTGACCGCCATCATGATCATATCCAGGGATCCACAGAGGGGTCACTGCAGGGCAAAACTGATTTCTAGCAGGGCAGTCAGAAACTTAAAGTTTTATTTTTTTCTTACATTTCACATTATTAATGAAAAACTATTACAGAAACTTACCTTGCTCCTAAACTCATATTGCCTTTTAATAAACCTTCAACCTTTTTCTTTCTCCACTGAGTCTTTCCTATTTTCAAATATACATGTTCTTAAAAATTGCCTTCATCTTATAAATTTTTCTGCCAAATTTTATATTTAATAGATTTCTCTAATAATAAAATTATTAGATTATAAAAGATTACTTCAAAGAAGCTTAATTTTTATACTACTGTTAAGACTAACAAGCACAAAAGTTTTTAAATGAAAAAATCAGAAAATAGCAAATCCCAGGTAGCTGGGCTATTATTTAAAAAGTAACAGTAGCCAAGAAGAATTGATCCTCCCATCTGAATTCCCTGTCACCAACTTCAAATAAAATGTTGTTTTATGATGCACTTCGTAAAGTTAACTATGTTCAAGAAATAATAAATTAATCCACATTTTAAAATGTTAAATGTTATGTAAAAATCAATAGTGCAATTCATTTCTTTCAAAATTATTAGCTTTACCACCACAACTAAAAATGTCAAAGGATAGCAACTGGAATATTAGGTAAATTTAAATCATTTGTTGTTTTAGGGGAATACCTGTTGTCCCTAAACAATTTAAAGTTCAGCAGCTAAGATACAGAGAGGTTTGAAACTTCAGATCCTTCAGGGATATTGTCCCAAAGATCCAATTATATCGATCTTTTAAAAAGCTAGAGAGTGAACCACATAGTTCCTCCAAAACACTTTGGAAAAACTCAGAAAACAAAGTTTTCTATTCGCTTGCTTCTTGTCAATCCTTAGCTATGTCAAGATTTTTTTTCATGAATGATTTCAATGTAAAATACTTAACAGAATACAGAGAAAAGATGTCCCTACAATACTAAGACACATTTTGTGCATTAATGAAATTACTTCCTAGTTTTCAGAAATTAGGGAAAGAACATTTACTTTTTAAAGACACAGAGAAATCACTGACTGTCCCAACAAGTGATCAGAAATGTTATTCAATATACACACACTGAGAGGATCATAAAGCAAGAAAACGTTGGTAGTAATGGGCATATCCTAGATCTTAGTTTGTTTTGTTTTTGAGACAGGGTCTGGCTTTGTTGCCCAGGCTGGAGTGTAGTAGCATGATCTCGACTCACTGCAACCACCACCTCCCAGGTTCAAGTCATTCTCCTGCCTCAGCCTCCTGAGTAGCTGGGACTACAGGTGCGTGCTACCACACAGGGCTAATTTTTGTATTTTTGGTAGAGACGGGGTTTCACCATGTTGGCCAGACTGTCCTCAAACTCCTGAGATCAAGCGATCCACCCACCTGCGGCCTCCCAAAGTGCTGGGATTACAAGTGTAAGCCACTATGCCCAGCCACAGATATTCATTTCTAAACACCATTCTCAACTAGAAGGAAACATGGCTCCTTGTGAAGATAACTAATACCAGAACTAGGTTAGGGAAAGAACAAGATTAACTTAGAGAATCTTATTGTACCAGAAACTAAGAAATATGCAAAGAGTGGTAGAGATGTAGTGAAGGGTCATAGACACCCACTTGATGAAGCTCCCATTGCTAAATTTAGGACAGATTATTCAAAGCATCAAAATAAAAAATGACTGATCATAATTCACAGATAAAATAAAAATGTACAAGTTCATTATGATGTAAATAAATAATAGGAATAGAAAGCTCTTCCTCACAGTAAGATGCCAAAAAATAAATATAGAGGAATGATGTTAGAAAATAATCACAGTTAAGGGTTTTGTAGGCAATAGATTCCCACAGGTAAAATGTTGTATTAGGTTGATGCAGCATTGTAGCTGTTGAAGGTAAAAGTTAGATGAACAGGATATTTACATGGTGTCAAAATATCTCACCACAAATTACTTTATAAGTTTAAAGATAAAATAATAACTTTACGGTGGGGAGACCTGGAGGATAATCATGTTAACATCACCAGTATTGGAACAAATAGACTCCATGTGCCTTCTGATATGAGGTACTGAGAATACACTATCACCTCTGTGGTACTTCCATCAAAATTAAATCACCCGAATCTAACCATGAGTGCAAACCAGACAAACCTAAATTTAGGGATATTATGCAATATAATCAGCCTACACTTTTCAAAAGTACAGATGAGTCTCAAAAAAGGATATACAAATGGCCAAAAAAAATCAAAAAAATGCTCAACATTACAAATTATCAGGGAAATGCAAATCAAAACCACAATGCAATACCACCTTACTCCTGTAAGAATGGCCTTAATCAAAAAATAATGGATGTTGGCATGGATGGGATGAAAGGGAAACACTTTTACACTGCTGGTGGTAATGTAAACTAGTACAACCACTATGGAAAACAGTGTGAAGTTTCCTTAAAGAACTAAAAGTAGATCTACCATTTGATTCAGCAATACCACTTTTGGGTATCTACACAGAGGAAAAGAAGTCATCATATGAAAAAAGATACTTGCATGCATATCTTTATAGCAGTACAATTCACAATTGCAAAAATACGGAACCAGCCCAAATGCCCAACGATCAATGAGTGGATAAAGAAAATGTGAGATACAGATATATAATAATGGCATTTGCAGCCACCTGGATGGAATTGGAGATCCTTATTCTAAATGAAATAACTCAGGAATAGAAAACCAAACATCCTATGCTGTCACTCAAAAGTGGGAGCTAAGCTATGAGGATGCAAAGGCATAAGAATGACACAATGAACTTTGGGGACTTGGGGGAAAAGATGGGAGAGTGGGGGATAAAAGACAATATGCTGGGGATAGTGTAAACTGATAGGTGTACCAAAATCTCAGAAATCACCACTAAAGAACTTATCCATGTAACCAAACACTACCTGTTCCCCCATGACCTACTGAAATAAAAAAAAAGAAGAAAAAATAAAATAATAAACTCCTAATTTAAAAAAAAAAAAGTGTCACAATCAATCAGGAAACAAAAAGAGAAACCAAGAAAATGTTCCATACCTGAAAGAGATCGGACAACTAAATACAATACATGCCCCAGCACTGAAGCTTAGATCAGGAAAAACTGGGCTATAACCAACATTGTTAGGACAATCGACAACATTTGAATATGGGCTGGGGATTAGATATTAGTAGTCTATCAATATCAAATTTCCTGATCTTGATTACTGTACTATGGTTATGTAAGATAATGCTCTTGTTCTTAGGATATACAGACTGAAGCATTTAGTGTTAAAGGAGGAAAATCTCTAAAGAATGTGGGAAAGGCTTTACCTTCTCCTCAACTTTTAATACTCATAAGAGGATTCATACTGGAGAGAAATCCTACAAATGTGAAGAATGTGACAAAGCTTTTAAGTGGTCCTCACGTCTATCTAATCATAAGATAATTCATACTGGAGAGAAACCCTACAAATGTGAATAATGTGGCAAAGTCCAGCCCTCAGGCCTTCTAATACATAAAATAATTATACTGGAAAAAATTACTACAAGTGTGGAGAAAAAATTACTGGCAAACCTTTAACCAGTTCCAAGCCTTTATTGTACCTGAGATAATTCATATTAGACAAAAATCACATAAACATAAAAAAGTAACAAAGCCTTTAACCAGCCCTCAAACCTTAATGAACCTAAGAGAATGTATTTTTTTTTTTTTTTTTTTTGAGACGGAGTTTCGCTCTTGTTACCCAGGCTGGAGTGCAATGGCGCGATCTCGGCTCACCGCAACCTCCGCCTCCTGGATTCAGGCAATTCTCCTGCCTCAGCCTCCTGAGTAGCTGGGATTACAGGCACGCGCCACCATGCCCAGCTAATGTTTTGTATTTTTAGTAGAGACGGGGTTTCACCATGTTGACCAGGATGGTCTCGATCTCTTGACCTCGTGATCCACCCGCCTCGGCCTCCCAAAGTGCTGGGATTACAGGCTTGAGCCACCGCGCCCGGCAGAGAATGTATTTTTAAAACATTTTTTTGAGATGGAATCTCACTTCATCACCCAGGATGGAGTGCAGTGGCACGGTTTTGGGTCGCTGCAACCTCTGCCTCCTGGGATAAAGCAGTGCTCCTGCCTCAGCCTCCTGAGTGGCTGGGATTACAGGTATGTGTCACCATACGGGATGATTTTTGTGTTTTTGGTAGAGATGGGGTTTCACCATGTTGGCCAGGCTGGTCGCAAACTCCTGACCTCAGGTGATCCACCTGCCTCAGCCTCCCAAAGCCTAAGAGAATTTATATTAGAGAGACCCTACAAAGGTAAAACATGTGACAAAACCTTTAAGCACATCTCAGGCCTTAGAAAATATTAGGTAATTTATTCTAAAAATGCAATGAATGTGAAAGAAGCAAAATGTTTCCAACTTACCCTGAAATCATTGGTAAAAACATGTTTTTTAAAAGCTGTGTGTGGAGAGAAGCAGCACTTATTCCCACATTCTTATTGCAAGTCATGCGGTCTCCATATTTTCTGCATCCTTATGATGGCTCATTTACTCTGATCACTGACAGCAAACGTACAGAAAGAAGACCATCAGAAGAACTTGGTCCAACCACACGAATAGGCAAATTGTTTCCTTGTAGGAAAAGAAGGAACAACACAACTATATTGAATAATATAAAAATTTTAAATAGAGCTAATTAAGTAGTAATTATATTTTGGGGATATTGGGCTAAAGTGGCCCATACAGCATGAGCTTGGAAAAGTGAAACTCAATAAGTACAATAGGTTTGTTTGACTGTAAAACATGGGAAACATGATTGTTAATGACTTCAAGTTTTAATAATATTAATCTTGATACTTTATTTTTCTAAAAGTCAGCACTCACGACAAATCCCTCCCATCACCAGGCAACAAAACAACAAGAATTTTAGAAGAAAAATGACAATGAGATGACTGTCTATGTAGAAAATCTGAAAGAATCAACAAAAAACTGCTGAAGCGAACAACAAGCAATTTCAGTAAGGCTTCAGGATACAGAGTTAATGTACAAAAGTCAATTACTCTCCTGTATACCAGCAAAGAAGAAATGGAATTTGCAATTAAAAACACAGCATTATTTACATTAGCATCTCTCCTCCACAATGATATACTTGGGCATAAACCTAACAAAATATGTGTATGATCTATATAAGGAAAACTACAAAACTCTGATAAATGAAATCAAAGAAGAACTAAATAAACAGAGAGATATTTCATGTTCTTGGATGCTAGAAGACAATACTGTCAAGATGTCAGCTCTTTTCAACATGAGCTATAGATTCAATACAATCCCAATCAAAATCTTAGGAAGTTATTTTGTAGATATCAATAAACTGACTCTAAAACTTTTATGCAAAATGGTACAGCCACTTTGGAAGATAGTTTGGCAGTTTCTTTCTTACAAAGTTAAACATACTCTTACCACATGATTTAGCAATTGTGCCCATTTGGTGTTTACCCAAAGGAGTTGAATACATGTCCATACGAAAATGTGCACAAGGATGTTCATAGCAGCTTTTTTCATAATTCCCAAAACTTTGAATCAACCAAGATGTTCTTTAGTAGGTGAATGGATAAATAAACAATGGTACATGCAGCCAGTAGAACACTGTTCAGCACTCAAAAGAAATTAGCTATTAATTCCTGGAAAAAAAGGCATGGGGGATGAATTTCAAGTCAAGGCTAAATGAAAAGAAAAAAATAAAAGACATGAGGGAAGCTTAAATGCATATTGCTCGGTGAAAGAAGCCAATCTGAAAAGGTTACATACTGTATGATTCCAACCATATAATATTCTAGAACAGGCAAAATATGGCAACAGTAAAAAGATCAGTGGATGACAGGCATTGGGGGTAAGAAGAAGAATGAATAGGAGGAGCACAGAAGATTTTTAGGACAGCAAAAATACTCCGTATCATACTATAATAATGGGTACAAATCATTAAAAATTTTCTAAAATCCATAGACTCTACACCACCAAGAGCACATACACCCTATGGCAAACTATGGACTTTGGGTGATTATGGTGTGACAATATTGGTTCATTTATTGCAACAAATGTACCACCCTGGAGAGGGATGTTGATTAACTGGGGAGACTATGAATGTATAGGGGCATGGGGTATATGGGAAATCTCTCAATTTTTGCTGTGGGCCTAAAACTGCCTTAAAAAATAAAATCTTAAAAAATAATAATTATAACAATATGTTGGTGAACATTAAGCTAACTTTAATAATTTTCATATAAACAGCTATCATTTATTGAATGCTCACCACATGCCAAAGTATTATGCAAAGCATTTTACACATTCTCTCTGTAAAATTACATGATGTAGGAATACCCCATGCACAGCACAGACCCATGCACTGCACATTCTTCTCTAGTGCTCATGGAATATCACCGGCCGATTTTGTGCCCGTGCCCATCAGTATGCCCTTTCTCCACAAAGGCGACTGCACTCCTGAATTCTACTTCATATGTTAGTTTTGCCTGTTACTGCATTTAAAAAAATGGAATCAGGGCAGGGTAGTGGGTCAAGCCTATCATCATAGGACTTTGGGAAGCCAAGCCGGGAGAACTGCTTGAGTCCAAGGAGTTTGAGACCAGACCAGGCAACACAGTGAGATCCTGTCTCTACAAAAAATAAAAAAAAATTCATTGGTATGTGACTGAAATCTCAGCTATTCAGGACGCTGAAGTGAGAGGATTGCTTGAGCCTGGGAGGTTGAGGTTGCAGTGAGCTATGATCGCACTACTGCATTTCAGCCTGGGCAACAGAGCAAAACCCTGGCTCTGGGGAAAAAAAAAAAAAGGAAGCATATGATATGCATTATGGTGTGTTTGGTGTCCTTCCCTCCACATATGCCTGCAAGATTCATCCATGTTGACATATGCGGTTGCAGCTTGTCCATATTTATTATTGTTATTGACTGTTTTATAAACAACACACATTATCTGTTGTCCTATTGTTAGACATCTGAATTGTCTTCACTTTTTGGCTATTTCAACAATGTCATTATACACCAGCATGCATATGTCTTTTGGTTCACATGCATACACATTTCTCTTGGGTATTTACTTAGGAGTGGAAATGAGAGGTGATAGGACATGCTGATGTCAACTTTAGTAGGCAGTGCTAAAATAATTTTCCAATAGGTTATGAAAATTTACAATCTCAAGAGTACCAGTTTCCTACTGATGTATAACAAACAAAACCGAGGTTGCACTGAGCCGAGATCGCGCCATTGCACTCCAGCCTGGGTAACAAGAGCGAAACTCCGTCTCAAAAAAAAAAAAAAAAAAAACAAAACTTAGTAACTCAAACAATGGCCACTTTCCTATGTATCATGGAAGTATGAGTAGAAACTCAGACTACTTAAGGGAGGTATTTGTGAGATTATATAAGTTTGGCAAAGATTTTGGATTAGGAACTTTTTTTTCTTGTATTCACTTTTTAAATTTTTTTATTTTTAATTTTTGTGGGTAGGTTTTTGTTTCTTCTAGGAGTTGGTTCAACTGTGGTCAGAGCTAATGAGCTAATCCTCAGAATTAAAAAGCCTGGCCGGGCGCGGTGGCTCACGCCTGTAATCCCAGCACTTTGGGAGGCCGAGGCTGGTGGATCACGAGGTCAAGAGATCGAGACCGTCCTGGTCAACATGGTGAAACCCCGTCTCTACTAAAAATACAAAAAATTAGCTGGGCATGGTGGCGCATGCCTTTAATCCCAGCTACTCAGGAGGCTGAGGCAGGAGAATTGCCTGAACCCAGGAGGCGGAGGTTGCGGTGAGCCGAGATCGTGCCATTGCACTCCAGCCTGGGTAACAAGAACGAAACTCCGACTCAAAAAAAAAAAAAAAAAAGAATTAAAAAGCCTGGTAAAACTAATGAAAGGAGAAGATTCATTCTGTGAATAAATATTCTCCAGGAGAATCATCTAAAAGAAAGCTATTTCACTAAAGAATTTATGGTCTAGCCAGGCTCGGTGGCTCAAGACTGTAATCCCAGCATTTTGGGAGGCCAAGGCTGGTAGATCACTTGAGGTCAGGAGTTTGAGATCATCATGGCCAACATGATGAAACACCCTCTCTACTAAAATACAAAAATTAGCTAGGCATGGTGGCGCGCACCTGTAATCCCAGTTACTCAGGAGGCTGAGGCAGGAGAATCACTTGAACCCAGGAGGTGGAGGTTGCAGTGAGCCAAGATCACGCCACTGCACTCCAGTCTGGGCGACAAAGCAAGACTCTGTCTAAAATTTAAAAAAAAAAAAAAATGTATGGTCTAATATTAGGAATTACATGTAAAAGGACTACCTAAAAGAACACTTACAATTTTATATATTTCATGATGGAATTATGTGAGCACAAATAGATAGAGGGGTCATGGAAGTGATAATCTGCAGGCCACATCTGGCAGACTCCCAAATTAACTGCCTAGGGAAAATCTTTAACTTATGGTATACATCCTGCTCCATGAGTAAAGAATCTCGAGTTCCTCCTACTGTTGAAGTACTGATGAATACGTAACCTGTTGACATTGAAAAGAACACTGATTTGTTTCTGAATCATGCAGTTTTACTGCTTGTCTTGCACATAGAACATTTTAACTTGTACGTTATCATCTGTAGCCAATGACTGCAACCTTTTTATTGTAATCACCAATGAAAAAGGACAACTTCCATTTGAGGAGTGCTCCTCCCCGCTCCTGAACTTTCCCAGAAAAGCCTTTCAAGTTGAAGCTGACTCCAGACCGTGCCCAATTTTGTTAGTGTACCTTCCCAAGTTGGTCCTCACACTTACATTTGACTTCCAATAAACCGTTATCAAATTATTTCTGCCTCAATCTCCTTAACTTTGGTTGCCAGAGGCTTCTCTCCGGATCACTCTCCTTCCCCCGCCCCCCAAAAAAGATCCCAAGCACACACTGGAAATAAATGGTAAACAACAAAGTTTCCAGAGCCTTATTTTCTAAACACAGAACTTCTAGTTTAGCACATTCTTGCATTTGAAAGTCATTTTGATTGCCAAAAATAGTCAGATAAAAGCATAAACTTACTTAAAAGACTTCAAGAGGAGATGGTACGGATATCATAAATGGGTTTAATGCCATATTAAGTTGAAATTAATTCTGTGGACAATAGAGAACTGTTTTAAGATAGAGACATAATTTGGATTATGACCAAATCAAGATGTAGAATATTCTTAACCAAGAAGATCCCTTATGCCTATTTACAGTCAATGACCTCCCCTAACCCCATGCCCCCAACTACAGATCTCACTTCTGTCATTATAGTTTTTCCTTATATAGAATTTCACATAAATAGAACTATGTGTAGCATGCAGTCATTTCACTTACCAAAATGTTTTATGTTTATGTAGTCATTTCTTTTATTGCTGAGTTGTATTCCACTGTGTAGATTTACAACTGTTTGTATACTCACTATTTGATAGACATTTTAATGGTTTTCAGTTTTGGCCTACAATAAATATTTACTTATGAGTTTTGTGCAAACACAGACTTCCATTTGTCTTAGGTAAATACACTGGTGTGAAATTTATGGGTCATAGTACAAGTGTATGCTTAACTTCATATGATATGTTGAACCATTTCTCAAAGATGCTGTCCTATTTTACTATCCCATTAGCGATATAACTCCTCTTGATCCACATCTGTGCCAATGCTTTATTTTGTCACTCTGATTTTAGTCATTTCAATGTGTGATGTCATATGTTGGGGTTTTTTTTCCAGGAAACATGATTTACTAACATATTTTAACAAGTAGTGTGGATAGAAAATAACCAATAACATGTTTTTGTATCTACAAATTATATTCAAAAATGCCCCAACATGTTCCAAATGTTTTTTAAAAACCATTTGATTGAGATATAATTCACATATCATACTATTTAACCATTTAAAGTATACAATCCAATAATTTTAAGTGGATTCACAGAGTTGTACAGCTACCGACACAAAATCAATTTTAGAACATCAACCTTAAAAGAAACTCACACTCATTAACAGTCATTCTCTATTTTCCCCCAACCCCTTAACCCTAGGAAACTATTAATCTACTCTGTTTCTACAGATTTGCCTATTCTGAACATTTCTCATAAATGGAGTCACACAATGTGTGGTCTTTGACTTCTTTCCCTTATGTTTTCAAGATTGATCCAAGTAATAGCAAGAATCATTATTTCATTCCTTTTCTTGCCAAATAACATCTCATTGTGTATGGATATCCATACACAATGAGATATTTGGCAAGGAATGAAATAATCACACATGTCAAATATCTCATTGTATAGATATGCCACATTTAATTTTTATCTAGTCATCCGTTGAACATTTTGGTTGTTCTCAGTTTTTGGTTTTTATAAATAATGTTCCTATGAACATTTATAATTTTTTTGTGGGACAGATGTTTTCATTTCTCTTGAGTATATGTTACACTTTGTTTAAACATTTGACAAACTGCAAAACTATTACCCAAAGCAGCTGTGTCATTTTACATTCCCACCAGCAACGCTTGAAGGTTCCAATTTCTCCACTTCCTTATCAATACTTATGTGTCTTTTTTTTAATAGCCATTCTAGACGGTTTGTAATGGCAACTCATTGTGGTTACCCTGATAGTGATTGATTTGTATGTATATATTTGTATGTATGTATTGATTTGTATGTATATATTGACCACCTGTATCTCTTCTTTGGATAAATGTCGATCCAGATCCTTTGTCTAGGTCCTTTAGGTTGTCTTTTTGAGTTGTAAAAGTTTTTTTCTATACATTCTGAATACAAGTTCTTTATCAGATATAGAATTTGTAAATATTTTATTCAAATCTGTAGGCTTTTTCTTTCTTGATAGTGTCCTGTAAAAACACAAAAAGATGTTAATTTTGATGGAGTTCAATTTATATATTTTTTCTTTTGTCACTTGAGCTTCTGGTATCATGTCTAAGAAGTCTTTGCCTTACCCAAGGTTATGAAGATTTACTTCTAGATTTACTTTTAAGAGTTTAACAGTTTTTGCTCTTACATTTAAGTCTGGTCCATTTTGAGTTCATTTTGTGTGCAATGTGAGAAACAAGTCCAACTTCATTCATTTGCATGTAGATGTCCAGTTGTACCTGCACAATTTGTTGAAGACTATTCTTTCCTCATTGAGTGAATTTGACACACAAGTTGAAAGTCAATTTGCCATAAATGTAAAGGTTTATTTCTGGACTCTTAATTCTGTTCCTTTGAACTGTATGTACAATCTTATGCCAGTACCACATAGACTTGATTACTATAGATTTTTACTAAGTTTTGAAGTCAGGAAGGAGGAATAATCCACTTTTGTTCTTTTTCAAAATATTTTAACTATTATGGGTCCTTTGCACTCCACATCAATTTTAGAATTAGTTTTCTATTGAATCTGTAAATCAAATTGGTCAGTATTGTCATCTTAACAGTATTAAGTATTCTAATCACAAGCATGGATGTCTTTCCATTTACTTAGCTCTTCCTAATTTCTTTCAACAATATTTTATAATTTCAGAGTGTAATTTTTGCATGTGTTTCATTAAATTCATTTTTAAAAATTCATTTTGAATAATTTTCTATTAAAAATGAAAGTTTTCTTAATTTCATTTACAGAAATTGGTACAACATAGAAATAAGTGATTTTTGTAATTAACTTAGAAAAGTCAATCATTAATTGATCCTCAACCTTGCTGAACTCATTTAAAGTTCCAACAGGATTTTAGTGAATTCCTTAGGATTTTCTATATACAACATATTATCTGAAAATATCATTAATTTACTTCTTTCTTTCCAATCTTGATGCCTTCTATTTACTTGACTGATTTCCCTAGATAGAACTTCCAGTATAATGTTTAATAGAAGTATCAAGAGTAAACATCCTTATCTCATTCCTGATCTTAAAGGGAAAACATTCAGTCTTTTCCCATTAAGTATCATCTAACCCTATTATGTAGTATCATGTAGTATTATGGTGTAAGCTGTGTGTTTTTTGTAGATCCACCTTATTAGTTGATGAAGTTTTATTTTATTCCAAATCTTTCAGTGGGGTGTGTGTGGGGGGGGGTGTATAAAATGAAGGGGTATTGGATTTTATCAAATGCTTTTTCTGCATCTGAGATCATAATGTGATTTCTTTTTTCCCTTATAGGTAGGAGGCATTATATAATTTGATTTTCATATTAAACAAACCTTGTATTCCTGAAATTAATGCCTCATGGTCATGATGTATAGTCCTTTATCTATATTGCTTCACTCAGTTTCCATTATTTTGCTCACAAGTTTTACATCTATAAGGGAAATCTCTCTGTAGCTTGTTTAATTTTTCATCTATGTCTTTGTCCATTTTTGGTACTAGGGTAATACTGGTCTTCTATTTTCTTCTATTTTTTCAGAAGAGTGCGTAAATAACTAATACCATATACAGGCATAACTATTATGTACCTATAATTTAAAAATAAAAAGTTTTAAATTTTAAAAAGAACTGGCATTCTTTAAAATATTTTGTAGAATTCACTTCTTTGTGGGTAGCTTTTTGAGTACTAGCTCAACTTCTTTACTTGCTGTAGGCCTATCCATATTTTCTATTTCTTCTGAGTCAGATTTAATTTTTTGATTTGTATCTTCCTAAGAATGTGTCAATTTCATCTACGCTGCATCTAATTTGTTGTCATATAGTTGCTCATAGTATTCCTTTATATTCTGGTTTATGTTTTAAGATTAGCAAGTAGCAATATCTCTTTCATTCCTGTTTTAGTAATTCAGTGAGTTTTGTTTGTTTTTTGGTCAGATTTGCTACAGATTTGCTGATCAACAATTTGGTTGATATTTTCAAAGAGCCAACTTGCAGTTTCATTTTTTTTTTTTTTTCCTATTCTCAATTTCATCATTTCTGCTCTGATCTTTATTTCCTCCCTTCAGGTTTAATTTGCTCTTTCTTCCCCACCCTCCACCCCCACCCCCGATGCTTCCAGAGAAAGGTTTGGGATAGGTCTGATTTGTCTTTTGTTTTGTTTTAAGCCAGGGTCTCACTCTGTCGCCAAGACTAAAGTGCAGTGATGCAATTATGCAGCCTCGAACTCCTGGGCTCAAGCAATCCTCCTACCTCTGCCTCCCAGGTAGCTGGAACTACAAGTGCATGCTACCGTGCCTGGCTAATTTTTAAAATTTTTCAGAGAGACATGGTCTGACTATATTGTACAGGCTGCTCTTGAGGTGCTGGCTTCCAACAATCCTCCCACCTCGGCCTCCTAAACTCCTGGGATTACAGGCATGAGCCACTGCACCTGGTCTTAATTATTATTATTTATACTTTAGTAAGATGGTCTATTTTTTTAAATGTGTTTTCAGTTATTAATTCCCCTCTAAACACTGCTTTTGCTGCATTTCATATGTTTTGGAGTTTTGTGTCATTTTTATTCATCTCAAAGTATTTTCTAATTTTTTTGGTGACTTCTTGTTACACTAGTTATTTAGAAGCATGTAACTTAATTTCCACATTTACAAAATTCCCAGTTTCACTAACTTACTAATTCCTATTTTCAATTCATTGTGATAATAGAGTACCTTTTCTACAATTTCAGTCCTCTCACATTTTGATAGGAATTGCACTGAATCTGTAATCAGCTTGGGAATTGTGGCTTGCCTTATGGCTTATGGACCTGGGCACACCCCAAGAGAGGTGATAAGTATATGTCAATGTAAGTTCATTAATTGCAACAAATGTACCACTGTGGTACAAGATGTTGATAGTGGGCAACGTTGTGGATGTGTGAGGAAAGGAAGTATATGAAACCTCCCTTTTTGAAAGAAATTTTCTAAAGGTGTTTTTCATACTTTTCTTCTTCCCTTACATTTTTGATTTCTGGAGAATAGTTCTGAACAATGTAAACTTTCATTTCGAAACTCTATTTCTAAAATTCCTGAAATGGCCAGAATAATTCAATGTCAAATTAGAAAGATCATATCAGCATAGAAAAGAATAAGCTAGAATCCAATGCCTAGGAATCCAAACGAGAGCAAACAGAGGTTTCAAGTGCAAATAAATATACAATATTCCACACTCCATATTTGAAGAACTTTTAAAAACCTGAACTCTCTAATTTTTTGATCAGAGGCAAAATTACCTACCCATATTCTCCTCTTCACTTAAAACTCAAGTGTAGTCCAGATGCAGTGGCTCATGCCTGTAATCCAACTTTGGAAGGCCAAGGCAGGTGGATCATTTGAGCTCAGGAGTTCGAGACCAGCCTGGGCAACAAACATAGTGAAACCACATCTCTACAAAAAATACAAGAATTAGCTGAGCACAGTGGTATGTGCCTTGGGAGGCTGAAGCAGGAGAATCAATTTGAGCCCAGGAGTTTAAGACTGCAGTGAGCCAGGATCACGCCACTTTACTCCAGCCTGGGCAACAGAGAGACCCCCCCATCTGAAAAAAAAAGGGGGGGGGCAGATACAGTGGTTCACATCTGTAATCCCAGCACTTTGGGAGGCCGAGGCAGGTGGATCATGAGGTTGGGAGATCGAGACCATCTCTACTAAAAATACAAAAAAAAAAAAAAAAATTAGCTGGGCATGGTGGCACTTGCCTGTAATCCCAGCTTCTAGGGAGGCTGAGGCAGGAGAGCTGCTTGAACCAGAAAGTTGGAGGTTGTAGTGAGCCGAGATTGCGTCACTGCAATCCAGCCTGGTGACAGAGCGAGACTCCGATTCAAAAAAGAAAAAATGGCTCATGCCTGTAATCCCAACACTTATGGAGGCAGAGGCTGGTGTTTGAGACCAGCCTGGACAACATGGGGAAACCCCATCTCTACTAAAAAAACAAAAAATTAGCCAGATGTAGCAGTGGGTGCCTGTAATCCCAGATACTCAGGAGGCTGAGGCAGGAGAATTGCTTGAACCCAGGAAGCGGAGGTTGCAATGAGCTGAGATGGCACCACTGTACTCCAGCCTGGGAAACAGAGCCAGATTCTGCCTCAAAAAAACAAAAAAATTATTTTTTTTAGATTGATCTAAAACATAATTCAAATAGGCATTATTTTTTAGAGAAGTTTCCAGTTCAAAGCAAGATTGAAAGGAAGGTACAGAGTTCCCATATACCCTCTACCCTCACACATGCACAACCTTGTCCACTATCAACATCTTGTACCACAGGGTTACATTCGTTGCAATTGATGAGCTTACACTGACATACAGTTATCATCTGAAGTTCATAGTTTGCCTTCAGGCTCACTCCTGGTGGTGTATATTCTATAGGTTTGGGCAAATGTACAATGATATATTCACGACCATAGTATTATACAGAGTGTTTTCACTGCCTTAGAAATCCCCTGTGCTCTATTTACTTTTCCCTTCCCCAATTCCTGGCAATCACTGATCTTTTTACTGTCTCCACAGCTTTGCCTTTTCCAGAATGTCACATAGTTGGAATGACACAGCATGTAACCTCTTCAGATTGACTTTTTTCATTGCATAATACAAATTTATGTTTCCTCCATGTTTCTCATAGCTTGATAGCTCTTTTTAGCACTGAACAATATTCCATTTTCTGGATATATCAGTTTATCCATTCACCTACTGAAGGACATCTTGGTTACTTCCAATTTTGGGGTATTTTGGATAAAGCTGCTATAAATATCCATGTGCAGATTTTGCACGGACAAAAGTTTTCAATTCACCTGCATAAATATCAGTGAGTACAATCAAATGGCAAGGGTATGTTTAGCTTTGTATAGTTTTTTTAAAAGAACAAATATTCTCAAATTCTATGTCCAGTACAACAGAGTAACTTCCCAGAAGACTACCTTGTATATAGAAACTATAAACACTGCATTAAAAAGCAAAGCAATTTTCTTAAGGCTCTAGAGTCAGGGTCAGGTAGATTTTGGCGGAGAGCAAAAACATGGAAGGGGCCGGCAAGGGGTGAGTTTCGGAGCTTTGTGGCTTTGTCCTTAAGCTAAAGCACAGTCAGAGCATGGCACAGAACAGCTACAGCTCCCACTGAAAATCACTTTCTCTCCAGGCTAAGGGAGGCAAAGCCCACTACAAAATAAGGGGGAAATACTGGAAATAAAACAGCAGAGAAGGAGAACCCAAGTTTCTATGTGTAACTCTGCCCAAGTCTGTGACTAACCTCTGAACTACCTATGTTCACGGCAGACTGTAAACAGCTCAGCCCCCTGCAAAAAAAGGCTGAACTGAGATCTGAGCCACCCACCAAAGGGGAGATAGTTGGCAGTTTGAGTCCAACCATGTTCATCACCTGCTAAAATTGAAAAGCAGCTCCTCAGAGGAACAGTCCAGAGTCTCCACAACATAACGTGCACAATATCCAGGAATGTTGGGATACAATCCCAAAATACCAGATTTATGAAGAACCAGGAAATTATGTTGAGGACCTGGGGGAGGCAATCAAAAAAGACCAAAGCCAAGATGATCCAGATGTGTAGTATCAGATAAGAACAATAAGAACACAGAAGCAAC